GGTGTCAGATTTTCATCAGCAACAACCTTAGAAAACTCATCAATGATTTTCTCTGCTGTTTGGTGATCAGCAGAGATTTTATCACCACAAATCTTTATAAATTTAATGCTATATATGTATTTTTTAATTTCTGCTGTCAGCCAGTCAAATATTCACAGTTCCCTTTAATTTTCAGTTCATCATGATAGATCTTTGCTTGCTTTATGATTAGCATACCATTACACGGCATGTGTTCTCTGTGATGCTGGTGGATCCATTCCTTCAATACATAATATCTTCAGTTTTTAGCTTTATGCAGTGTTTCTCTATTTTTAATTAACTTCTATCAATCACTTTCAGAATAGAACTTCAACAGTTTGTCCTTCTTTGCTTCAGATCATACGTGGTATCATTCCAACACCATATTCTTCTGTAAGATGTTTTAGACCTACACCACTGTCCAATTTCTCCAACAACTTGATTTTCTGTGCTATAAGTAAACAAATGCTTTTTCTTTTTTTTTTTAATCACTGTTACTCATAGAGGTATCTTCAGGACTTTTTGACATCAAAGATATCTTTATACCACAGAGCAGAGAATAAGCAAAAAACCCCACAGTGAGTGGGTTTTTAGCTCTTGGACCTATGTGGGACATTGTGGGAAACCTGCCCCCTGTCCTCAGCACATCTGGCCTGCACACATGCTATTTTATTATCCTTTGTAGCCATGCTTGCTTGGAGAAATCTGGACATGCACAAAAAAGATATAGCTGAAGGGGGCTGGGAGGGTATTTTGTTTCCCTTGGGGACACTGAATAAACTGTGCTGCATGCCTGTGTTTTGACTGCTACCTGTCACAAGAGGTCAGATATGGAATTTTCCACTTGTCATGTTGGTGCTCAAAAAATTTCAAATTTTGGAATATTTTGGTTTTCAGATTTTTAAATTAGAGATGCGCAGCCTGTATACCTTTATTTACTAAAAAAGTCTTTATTGTTTCCAAACATGTCTATAAAATTTGTTGTCTGTTTGTTCCTAGGTGCATTGTACTATTCATTGGTATTTTGAATGGCATATTTTCTTCTAATACATTTACTAATTGATTATTGATCATGCACAGGAAAATTCTTGGGTTTTTGCAGTACCTTTTAGAAGATGATTTTATTGAAGAAAAGTTTATCTGTAGAAAATTGTGTAGCTCAATAAAGTTTTACAAACTCAATACACACCTATAACTAGCAGCTAGCTCAAGAAAAGATGCCTCCTTCATGTTCCTTTCCCACCACTGTCTCCATCCCAAGGCTAACTACTATTCTAAAATCTAACATCATGCAATTTTGCCTGTTTTGAATTTTATATAAATGGGCTCATACATTATTAACTCTTTTGTGCCTGGCTTCTTTCATCCCACTTTATGTTTGCAAACTTCATCATTACTGAATATAGTTGGCATTTATATATTCTTATTACTGAATAGCATTTTATTTGCTAATATAGCACAGTTTAGCTACCTATGCCATTTTATGGGCATTGGATAGTACTTCTATGAACATTCTTAAACATATCTTGTACATTTGAACTTATGCTTTTCTGTTGGTTACATATGGAGGAGTAGAATGGCTTAGTCATAGATTTCATGTGTGCTGCCAAACAGATGTCTACAGAGATTGAACCAATTTATAGTCCCACCAGCAGTATACAAGAGTTCCAGTTTAATTTAATAGTTAGTCCATAGTATTCCAGATTTCCAGTTGTTTTACCCCCTTGCCAACACTTGGTATTCTATATGTTTTTTTTTTTTCATTTCAACCATTTAGTGTAATATAGCCTTTGCTTTAATTTTGCACTTCATTGAAAACTAACAAAGTTTACTGACCGTTTGAATATCATTTGGAAGTGCCTGTTCAAGTCTTCTGCTCATTTTTCTTTTGTGTCTATCTTTAGGGATGTTGGAAGGTTATTAGGTCATGATAATAGAGCTAGCATGCTTGAGATTAATGTCCTTATAAAAGATGCTCAGAGAGCTGCCTTGCCCCTTCTACCATGTGAGGACACAGCAACCAAGTACCATCTATGAACCGGAAAGTGGGTCCTCACCAGACACTGAATCTGCTGGCACCTTGATGTTGGACTTCTCAGCCTGAAAACTGTGAGAAATTAATTTCTGTTGTGTATAGGCTATGTAGTCTATGATATATTACAATAGCGGTTTGAACAGACTAAAGCATATACCAATGTATTTTCTAGTTTTGAACCATCCTTGAATTCCTCAGATATACATATTCTAATATTTTGTTCTTTTAATCTTGTATTGGATTTAATTTGCCAACATTTTGTATAACATTTTGGATTCTTTGTTTAGAATACAATAGGCATACAATTTTCTTTCCTTATGTGGTCCTCGGCTTAATTTGACATCAGGGTTAAACTGAGTGACATAATTCTTCATATTTTCCTAAGTCTTAGAGCAATTTGATACATTAGAAATTATAGTCAATCTTCATTATTCATGGACTCCATATATGTGTATTTGCCTACCAGCTAAAATTGATTTGTAACCCCAAAATCAATACTTGCAACACTTTCATGGTCATTTGTGGACATAAGTGGAGCAGAAGAAAATTTCAGTCATCCTCTATGCATGTTCCCAGCTGAGGTCAAACAAGGCAATGTTCGGCCTCCTTGTTTCAGCTCTCATACTGTAAACAAATGTCTTCTTCATGGTCTACTTAGCACTACAATTTTTGCATTTTTGTGCTCTTTGTTTGTGATTGTACAGTTTAAAATGGTCCCCAAGCGTAATGCTGAGGCATTATCTAGTATTCTTAAGCAAATGGAGGAAATATTTGTTTTAAATAAGCATTGTTCAGGCATAAGTTGTAGTGCCGTTGGCCGTGAGTTCAATGTTAATGAATCAGCATATATATTTAAGTGCCATTAAACAGAAATACATTTAAAATGAAGTTTATTTGTTGATCAGCTAATGAAAATGTTGTGGCTAGAGGCTCATAGAAACCTAAACCTATATTTATCCAATGCTAGCAGTGACTTCATAGAACAAAACTACAGGTAGGGTGAATTCCCATTATTCACAATACATTTTTATTAACAGTGGTCACCATGATGCACAATAGATCTCTTATACTATTCCTCCTGAAATTTTGTGGGTTTTTATCAACATCTCCCCAATCCTCTCACCCACCGCCACTTTACTCTCTCTTTCTATGAGTTTGACTTCTTTAGATTCCACACATACTGAGATCATGTGGTATTTGTACTTCTATGCCTAGTTTATTTCACTTAACATAATGTCCTCCAGGTTCATCCATGTTTTTGCAAATGACAGTATCTTCTTTTTCCAAAGGCCGAATAGCATTCCATTGTGTATATAATCCACATTTTCTTCATCCATTTGTTTTTTGATGGACACTTTGCTTATTTCCATATCTTGGCTATTGTGAATACAATGAACATATTAGTGCAGATATCTCTTCAACATATTGATTTCATATCCTTTGGATATATACTCAGCAGTAGGGTTGCTGGATCATATGGTAGTTCTATTCTTGATTCTTTGAGGAACCTCCATATTGTTTTCCATAACAGCTGCATTAATTTACATTCCCACCAACAATGTAGAAGGGTTTCCTCTTCTCCACATTATCACTGATATATGATCTTTCATCTTTTTGATCATAGCTATTCTAACAGGTGTGAGGTGATAGTTCGTTGTGCTTTTAATTTGCATTTCCCTGATGATAGTGATATTGAGTGTTTTTTCTTATCCCTATTTGCCATTTTGGAATCTTCTTTTGAAAACTTTATTCTTTTTATTGCCAAATAATATTCCATTGTATGTCTATACCACATTCATCAGTTTATGGACATTTGGGTTGTTTCCACTTTTTGGTCATTATGAATAAGCTGGCATAAACCTTCATGCACAAGTTTTTGTTCAGACATAAGTTTGTATTTTTCTTGGGTATTTACCTAAGGGTGAAGTTGCTGGGTCACATGGTAGTTCCAGTTTAACATTTTGAGGAAATGCCAGACTGTTTTTCAAAGTGGCTCCACCATTTTACATTTCTATCATCAGTAAATGAGAATTCCAATTTCTTCACTTCTTCACCAACAATTTCTATTTTCTACCTTTTTATTATAGTCATCTTAGTATATAGTGGTATCTCATTAGGATTTTGATTTATAGCTCCCTAATGACTGCTAATATTGAACATCTTTTTATGCACTTATTGGCCATATCTTTGGAGATATCTTTGGAGAAATTATGTGCTCATTTTCTAATTGTCTTTCTATTGTTGAGTCTTAGAGTTATTTGTATATTCTTGGTACCAGTCTCTTATCAGATATATGATTTGCAAATATTTTCTCCCATTTTGTGGGTCATCTTTTTACTTTCTTGATAGTGTCCTTTGAAACACAAAATTTTTAATTGTGATGAGGTCTAATTTCTTAGTTCTATCAATTTTTGCTTAATATTTTAAAATTTTGTCAGTAAGTATAAAAATGTCCATAGTTGATATGTTTTATTCATAGTTTCCTTTTTATCAACTTGAAATGTCCATTTTTATTCTTTTAATGCAATTCTTCTTCAATTCTATGTACAATATATTTATGTACACATTTCTACTTTGTTTCTACTTTTCTTTAAATACTGATGATAACTTCATGAGAACTGCTATGAATAATCCCCATTTATTTTAAAATTTCATTCACAATCATAATTAAATATAATACATGTGAAAATCAAATGGTGCAAGCACTTCAATATATATCAGACATAAAAATTATGTAATTCTAGTGTCTGCTTACTAGTGCTAACAAGTAAAATTATGATGTTTCATACTAATTTCATCTCATTGACTATAAAGTCTAAACACAATAAAAGAAGAATATATATTAAAGCATATTATTCAACTACTATTAATATGGAAAGGTCCAAAATTGAAATTTTTTATTCCAAATGCTAAGTAAAAAATAGATTCCTCAACCAAAAAGGCTCACCTTATAACAGCCTGATCCCAAAGGAGCCTTGTAGTCCAGATGGAATCAATGTGGTCCAGAACACTACATGAACCTCTGGAGAAGTTCAAGGCTTTCTCCCCACCATCTTTGCTAGACCTAAGAAAGATGGACGCCTTAGAGATGTACAGTTAGACCATGATGCTCAGAGAGTTTAAATGCGGCATTACCCTTTGATCTCTTAGAATACTCCTTGTTTTCATGATTCAACTTATTCTATCTTATCCTTCTCCTATGATCATGTGATTAAGATAAGGGTCAGAAAGCCCAGAGGCCACCAGAGTAGGGACATGGAGAAAGAGGGCACGAATATATATAAACTAGCTCTGATCCAGGATTGAATCAAAACCTCTTTTTCCATGTCTCCCTTGTCAGAGTAGAAATACATAGTACCAGAGTCAAGATAGGATTTGGAGGGGGGAGAAGGATTAATGAGCAAATTAAATAAAAGGAAAGCTTGAGACTCACTTCTAATACAACCCAGCTCAGAAGACTAGAGGCCAAATGGATATGGGGTCAAAGCACTCCTTAGTTATAAATATTGACCATTAGCCTGAGATGTCAACTCTAGAATTCAGAAGTCTTTACTATGGTTTGGTTTTCCCTCTTGCAAGCCACCATTCAAAAGATATTGTTCCAGGGAACCACAGCTTCTTCAATCTGAGTCCCAGAATGAGGAGAATATAGAGCAGACCTGAATCCAATCAACATCCCGGTGCAAAGCCCAGGCAAACCCAGCCTAGCCAAGTCCAGCTGAGCCATACCCAATCCACAGACCTGTGAGCAAGAAATAAATGTTTATTTTTATAAGTCAACTGAGATTTGGGGGGATTGTTTGTTACATAGCATCAGCAAAAAGCTGACTAATATAGCAGTCTTGTAGTAGATTACTCTTGCATGCTCTATATTTTATGTGATTCATAGTAGTTTTTAAATTCAAAGTATATATCTAATTATCCAGTTTAATCAAGTATCCATATGAAGTAGCAAAGAAAAATAACTTGCACTGTATAGTTTTTGCAATCACACTTGGGTGAATGCAGTGGAAGTATATCTGAGTCTTAGTCTGTACCTGCTGCTATAACAAAAAACCCCAGACTGCGTAATTTATAAACAATAGGAATTTATTTTTCACAGTTCTAGAGGCTGGAAAGTCCAAGATTAAGGCCCCGACAGACTCAGTGTCTGGTGAGGATTCACTCTCTGCTTCAGGGTGGCACCTCTTACTCCATCCTTAAATGGCAGAAGGGGCATAATGGAGATACATGCTGTATCCTCACATGGAAGAAGAGATAAAAGGGGCAGGAAGCCCTCTGAAACCTCTTTTATAAGGGCATTAATCCATTTGCAAGAGCAGAACCCTCATGGAAGGATCACTTCTCAAAAGGCCCCCACCTCTTAATATCATCACCTTGGGGTTTAGCTTCCAACATATGAATTTTGGAGGGGCACATTCAAACCATTGCAATATGCATCTTCCCATTAGGTCAGAAATATTTCAATTGTTTTCCACCAGCAGGCCAGGAAACTAGCAAGATCTCCACACATGCAAGGCCTTCTACTTCACCTTGGAGCATGGCCACTCTTGGCAGCCTTTATGTCTGCCAAAAATAACTTACCATCCAGTGGGAGGAAAAGTACAACAGCTTCCTAATGACTAGCTATTCACTTATACAACTGCAGCACAGGGCGGCATCCTATCAATGTGATGAAAGAATAAACTAGGGACAAATTTTGTTATTTACATATTACCACAGGTGTCTATCTCTTCCATCTTATGTTGACATCCGTGATGGCCTTCCTAAATAACTCAGGGCATCAGAGAGTTGCTCTCTACCGCAAGCCAAGATAACGTTGGCAAACACATCTGTGTAATGTGTGCACTGGGCACATTTCCTTGTTGAATTATTCAATTAAATCTGATAATGAGAGCACATTGACATAGTTAAACACTCAGGTGAATAAAAGATTCACTTTGAAGTGCAGAAATTTCTGGAGTCATCTGTATGTTAACAAGTGATGATTCTCACTACCATCATCCAGGGAGGGAGAAACTTTAGAGAAGGTAAGTTAGAGTAGAGCATGCTGAAAACCTTTTCTGGCATGATTTCAGGGAGATGAAAGGTAGAGGCAGTTTTCAGTGTTCATTTGAGCCATCAATCTTTTTGGAATAAATGTGTTGAATTTTAAGAGACAAAAAGATAAGACTCAGGTCTTAAGTGAATCTTATTCCCCTGAACTCTAACAGGACATAGATGAACACTAGCATAAGTATCGACACCTGATTTCTGATCTTCCCTCTGGAAAATCTCTCATACAACAAAAGCATCTGACTTTTCTCATCTCAGTTCTCATTCTGTAAAATGGGAGAGTTTGACTTGTCCCCCATTATTACCATAGTGCAAATTACAAAACTTTTTCCATCTAAAAGGACCATCCATAGATGCAAAGTGGGTAATAGCTATTATTTAAATGATGTGTACATTATGAAACATCTGCCAGTCATACTGGCTGTCTTTAAAGCAAGGGCAACATTACTAACAGTGGTTGGCACTGCAAATGTCAGCCTGTATTTTTATTAGCCCACTCTCTCTCTTCAAATAGTCTATATACTTCTTACAAATAAGGACCATTTCTTAACTCTCTTAATCTTCATTACTTAGCACAATACAGAAACCATAAGGTAGGTCATCATTAATTATACAATGAAAGTATTAACAGTTAATAGCTACTATTTATTGATCCTCTTCCATGTGCCAGACCCTGTGTCAGGCATTTTATATCCACTATCTCTACTTAGTACAATTGAACAATAACCCCAAAAGGAAATACTATTCCCATTTTACAGATCAAGAAATGGAGAGTCCTAGCTGGTGCTGTAAGGCAAGAAAAGGAAATAAAACAAAAAGGTATAAAGATTTAAAAGGAAGAGCCAAAATTATCATTATTTATAGATATATGGTTTTGTACATTATAAAATATAAAGTATCTACAGTTACATTATTAGAATTTAAATAATAGCTGGGCAAATTTGCAGGATTAAAAAAACCAATATATAAGAATCAATTTTATTTCTAAATGACAAAATATAAAACAAGTAAAATTTAAATAGAGTAATTATAATATTAAATATCTAGAAAAAAATATGCCAAAGGATATGCCAGACTTCTACAGAGATAATCACAAAACTTTATGAGAAAAGCAAAGACTTAAATAATTAATTGATAAATATACTGTGTTTATTGATTAGAAAACTCAGTATTATAAAGAGGTAATTTTCCCCCATATTGATGTATAAATTCAATGCACTCCCTATCAAAATCTCAACAGGATTTTTGTTAGAACTTGAAAATCTCTTTCTAAAATTTAAACGAAAAGACAAAGGGTGGTGAAGGACTAGACAATTCCTGAAGAACAAGTTGGGAGACTAGCTGTATCTGATGTCGAGATTACTACAGATCTACGGCTGATTATGTTGTATTTTGTGACCGATGTAATGACTGCCCAGGTGTTGACAATATACATAAAGCTATACGTTTATGTTTATTCACTTTTTGAGGGGAATAGACAATTTTTATCGTGTTATGTTTCACAATAAAAGAGGTATTTGAAAAAGAAAAAAAAAGAAACTGAGGGTCAGAGAGCCTATGAGACTAAGCCAAGGTTATACTGCTAATTTAATAAGCATGATTATGCATTTAATGAATAATATATGTTTAAAATAATTAAACATTCACGGTTAACAGTTTAGAAAAGCAAGAACTAAAATAAAGTACCACTAGCAATTGTTAATTGCTGACATATTTTACTGTCCTCATTAACCACTTATTCACAGAACATGGAAATCAGTTCAATAACATAAGATGTCTGCCTGGCCTAAGTCTTTCTTTCCAAATCCTTATATCAAATTTATGAAGGAGGAATGTTTTTGTTAAAGCCTTTTCCTCAATTGTCATTGAAATAATGTCTACTCAGCCATACCTACTATACTTTATATACTATTTGCCCCATTAGCTCAAGAAGAAAAATGTAAAAGCAAGACCAGGAAGACAATCTGGGGGCAAATGATACAACATAATTTTTTGAAACACTTGACCTGTCTAAATGTAGTAATTAAGTCATTGCACTAAGAGGTTAGAAAATGAATCATTCTTTTGCCTCGAATTGTGAAAATATGTTATCCCTAAATTTATATAAGCTGGGTGTTATTTCTCCACTGACCTTCTCAGGATCATAATCTGATAATGTGGATGAGTCATTAGATGAGTTTCTGCCTCATATTATCTCATTCATGATCAGGAAAGGCCCATTTGGCTAACCACTCTCTTTTTGCCTCTGAGGAAATTCGAGCCCAGACAGATGAAGTGACCAGATTGCGGTCAGTCAGCTGGCCAGTGTCAGAGCTGCAATTAGAAACCAACCTTTCTTTCCATTACCCCAACCCCAAATTTCCAAATTGTACTTTAAAAAATACACTATCATTTTCTCATGTAATAATTAAGAAATATAAGTTTAAGAAACACATATTTTTCTTCAGTCATGAATTAGCCAGTGACTTGAAGAGTAAACCTCCAAATATATGTAGTAGATCTAATTTTAAAAATCTATTCTACTTATCCACAGTAGCGGGAGTACCAGGATCTCGTTTATTAAAAAAGCTCACATTTAGTGTTGTATTTAGTTCTCACGGCAGTCTTGTAAGCTGTTATTATGAACTTGACTTTGTAGATGAGGAAACTTGATTGAAGAGACTAAATCGGCCAGCTGGTGGTTGGTAGAGGCAGAACTCAAAAATGGCCTTATAAACTCGATTTCATCACTTCCTCCATTTTAAGAAATTTCCTAGTTCTTCTCATGGCAGAGTTGCCTGACTATCCCCCAATGGGTTTAAGCTCCCACTTTCCGAGTGTAGAGCTTTAGACAGGAGGTGGATGCCTGGCCAGTGACCACATCCTATCAGCTCCACCCTCATTTGGGTGAGGCCCTCTGATGAGTACCCATCCATGGGACATGAGCACAAGTGTTATGCATCAGATGATATTCCTTCTCCACCCCTTCTTTTTCTCCATCCATCAGCTTGTGTTGGTTTCCAGGGTATCCTTGGAGGGGATTTTGGCCATAATCCTGAAGGACGTGATCTAGAATGCTGTAATTTCAAATGTTGAAATGTGGAAAGATCTAAATCCTTAAAAGAAGGCACACATTGAAGATGGCAAAGCTATGGAGCATTGGTCCCTGAACAACAGTAGAGCAACTGTGCCTTCCACACCTCTACTGCTAACCAGTGATTTCCATAATGAACTGTTACATGAGCAAACACAAATGCTTCTTGTGAAAGCCACTAAAATCATGAAGTTCTGTTATAGCAGCTACAGTACCCTAACAAAAATGAACATATTTTTTCTGACTAGAATTCAGATTTTTGCTCTGCCCTAACAAATCTCCATAATACTTATTTATTAATTCACTGATTTTAATTGTGCCAAATGGAAAAGACTCTGTGGAGTCACTTTCCCAATGACCTCTCTGTTCCTTGCTTTTCCACCAGTTTAAGGTTAATGATAATTACTATTGGATATTTCTATCTGTGGTACTGAAACTAAATTATCATAAAAACTTCTTATGGCATAGTTAATTGTAACATACATTGATATACAAAAAAGAAAATTAAAACTCCTTCCCTCTTTTTAACCTTCTAAGCACTTCCTATCTTCAAAAATAATTTTGAGCAAAATATACATCTCTGACTGGGAAGGGAGTGGTGGTCTGGAATTAATCACTGAGGATTTATTGAGTTTCCTAAGTGTACTGCTCA